AGCATGTAGTAATCCAGGGTCCTGCCAGCCTCCAGCCAGATCCCTTTCCGGGGGTCATCATCTGACAAGAACAATCCATAGTCAGAGGCTGTGGGACAGAACAGACAGAGACACATTGAAAATATCCAACCTAATAAAGCCAACATGGTTTTACTCAGGTTTATTCAGATTCAGGGTTAAGCCTACATTACACTCGCCTTCCATTCTTAGTAAACTTGGATAGAATATTTTTCAGTGCTTCATGAAAAATTTAGTTTAGCAGCAGATAGCAGGGTACATCAGGCTTTACAGAAGGCTTGGAAAAAAGCTTCACTGTGCCATCACATCCTCACATGTCACATCTACTGTGTATTATATTTATAACTACTTTTTTTTGAGACAACCTGTTTTAAATGCTCACAGGTCCTGCTTTGGAATTGACTAACCAAAAATACAAGCAAGTTTGGCCTTAACCACAGTGTACTATTTCAGGCAGCAGCTCTATTTTCAAAACACAGTTTGCTTTCAACCCTCCACAAAATGAGTTTATTATAAACTTGGAAATCTTTTGGGTAGATGATTCAGGTTTAGCTATTTAAAAATATACAAGACTTCTAGAATTGTACCCATGGCAAACCCAGCAAAAAACTTGTATCTTTTGAATGTCAATTGATTCTTTCAGAAGTAAATGACAAAATTTTCATTGACACACAAAACCAAACCCAGGCTTAGGTTTCAAAGACTGAACTCCAGATACACAAAATGAGGCATCATGACTGTTAATTTAAGGCCTAAATTCCAGATACACAAAATGAGGCATCATGACTGTTAATTTAAGGCCTAAACTCCAGATAGACAAAATGAGGCATCATGACTGTTAATTTAAGGCCTAAACTTAACAAGGTAAATTTAACAGCATTTACCTTGAACACATGATTATTTATGCAATTATATAAAAGACCTTAAACATAACTGATAGAAGTGCAACTGACTTACAGAGACCAAATTTAAAAGGAAGAACCCTTCCATAAACAACTGAGATGAAAAACTTTCCCTGCAGGCCTTAATTAAAATCTCCCCTGAAAGGTCAAGTGATCTGTCCAAAATCTGAGAATTCCTTGGCTTTTCTTTGAGGTTCATGATGCTCATTTATCACTCAACTTCTCCAAATTCAACAGCTGTCTACAATCACTGCCTTGAGAGACCAGCATGGTAAAAATGCACAACTTTTATCTGAAAACTGAAGCTCTGGGACTAGATTTCCAAAGACTCCTGCAAAGAAGAAGCAATTCTCAGTAATACTAATCAAGTCCATTACTAATAAGTTTTCCTAACAAGATTTTTGAAATGGCTGTAGAGTTTGAGAGCTTAAACCTCAATAAACAACCTGCTGCAAGAATTACATTTTGGTGGCATTATATACAATGCAGCACCAAAGGGCTTTGAAATATCTGAATTTTTGGACAACTTTGGCTGTGTTAAAGCCAGATCTTTTGTCCTTGGTGTTTCCCAGTGTGTATTCACCTAATTTGCTCAATAGGTACAGAGAGTTACATTTGATTAACATGTAGCACTGTGGTAACTATTGTACTCACAGCAGGGTGACTTTAGTTATTAACCAGTTTCAAACATTTCTCTTTGCACATTTCGGAAGTACCCAGCCATTCTTTTGTAATTCGTGCTGTTGCTTCCTTTGCTGAGGCACAAAATAACTCTGCACAGATTTCCTTAGAACACATTGCCAGAAACACTGCTTTAAGTAGAAAATACAAAAAAATTGCTCTCCAAGCAGGAGAGCAATTTCTCATCTTTAAGGCAAACCAGATATTTATTTAAGAAATCTAAAAACATCCATTGTAGGAAAACCTTTGTCAGGACAAAGGGAAGAGAAACAACTGTCAAAGCCCAAAACTTTCCTCTGACTGCCCTAGAAGACTCAAAACCCCAGCAAGAGCTCAAAGAGTTGTGCCCACCCAGGGATGCCAATCTTGGGGTTTGTGTTCTGAAATGGCTTTTGAGGTATTAAAGAGTTGCTTTTTTTAGTTTTGCAACTGAAGACTAAGTCGAGATTTTTTAGCTTTGGTTTTTAAGGTTGTTTATTTTTATTTCATACATTATTTTTTTTACTTGTTGAGGTTTATTTAGCAGGTTGGGTTGAGGCACACTGACTGCTTTAGGGGTGGTGTTAGTTTTTTATACTAGAAACTATGTGTACTTTATTTATAATAATTTTTTAATATTTATTATTTATGTTAGACAGTTTGTCTCTACTTTAAACTTATTTAAAAGTTTCACTATTACAGCAGAAGATGGAGGACAAGAAGAAGAAGAAAGGATACATTTACATTTTTTTATTTTGCTTGTTGAACTTCTATTTTAAAAACTTCAAAATTTTACTTTTTCACTTTGTGACAAGTCAGCTATCATTTTACTTAAAACTTTTGTGGTTTGTAAATCTTCACACAAAGTTGGTAATTGTTTCTATGGGTTATAACTGAAGGTACAGGTGTTTTTGACTTTGTGCTGTCTTTGAGCTCTTTGCTAGGGTTTTGAGTCTCCTAGGGCAGTCAGAGGAATGTTTTGGGTTTTGACAACAACTTTTGGTCCCTTAAAAATCTGTTTGCACTTGTTTCCTTTCACTCCAGAGCCCTACAACTTAAATTAAAAAAACACAAAACAAAACAAAACAAACTCCCCTGTCACTGTCGTATTTTATGAAAAATCCTTTTGCTAGGATCTTTTTCTCCTGAGAAGCTGAGAGGCCTCAGGAACAAAATGTAAACAATGATTATCTGCTGCTGTGGAATGCAACAGGTGCATCTGGGATTGGTCTCATGTGGTTGTTTTTAATCAATGGCCAGTTACAGTCAGCTGGCTTGGACTGTCTGGTCAGTCATAGGATTTTATGATCATTCCTTTCTATTCCTTGCTAGCCTTCTGATGAATCCTTTCTCTATTATTTTAGTATAGTTTTAATATAATATATATCATAAAACAGTAAATCAGCCTTCTGAAACATAGAGTCAAGACTCTCATCCCTCCCCATGTCAGGGCTGCCTGCAAATCCAACACTCTCCAGCATAAGAAATAAATG